TACCCTAGCATTGAATGTACAGCCATCAAATTAGATGATACGTTCATTGGTGTTCATTTTGTGGGGCACACAGAGGAACAGAGCACAGCTGTGATCCTAGTGACTGTGGCCCATCCTGACAATCTGGACGTCACTTCAGCCAAAGCGATTGGCTGTGGGAGGGGAAGGGGAATGGGATTGCTGGAATCCACATGCCCCCACCATGTTGTCTTGCATGGGTGTAGACTTGGCCTTGGGACTAGAGGAATCACTTTGTCTATCTTTTCACCTTGGAGGAGGACCACACTGAAGTCATAGCAGACAGCCATGATAACCGACCTGGTTTTAATAGACCTCCCAAAGAAGACAATTCCAGTCTCTTCCCTAAGGAGGCCATTTCAGTGTTTAAAAACTCACAGTAAATTTTTCTTTTACTTAAATAGAATGTGCAAGGATGTAAGAAATATACAAGCCCTTTATTTTATTAAGGCAGGATGGCAGAGAGGAGGGTCAGCGGGTTGTGGAGTCAGCAGTCCTGGGTTATGTTGTAATACTGCCACTTGTGACTGGTGGGCAGCCTCGTCTGTTAATGTCCCCGAGCCTCAGAGCCTTACTTGTATGTCAGCAGAGTGACACCTAGGGCTGTCATGAGGAGCTGATGGGCACAAAATTCTGGGGATATTATTCAACTATTTGCCATACAAGCAAGATCACCGTTCTCTCCCCACTGGACAAGCAACTCACGCTTTCCTCTTCCTGAAATCTTGTTAGAGCTCTAGGGAGCATCACAGAATTGTTCCATGCCTCTCTCTACCTCCGGCTCACAAACTCCAATTTCCTCATCTCATTCTCGTTGCTCTGTCTTTTCAGTCCTTGAATCCTAACTTACAAACTTGTTTCCCAAACAATTTTTAAACATATGCCTTGCAATGTGGGGAGATCGCATTTTTCTAAAGGAAGCAAAAAATAAGTATCGGTACTGGAAAAATCGCAAACTTGACCTGCACACTTTAGGAGGCCGTCCACACAAAATTCTTGTTCTAGGATAGTGGATCCATAATTAAGATTTGTACTGTGGTGACAGATTCAAAGTGGAGTGATGACACAATTATCTGAACTGGGACAGCAGTGATGTGGCTGCAATTATTTGGTGAATGGAACCACAGAGACTTCTCTGGTACAAGTTTCCTGCAGTACAGCCCTCACTCTGCACAGACCACGGCCTCAGACCCAAGTGCGGTCTGTTGCACCATTTTAAGAAAGGAAACATTTCAGACCATGAATTATTTTTAAAAGCTGTACACATGACTCTTGGCTAACAGAGCGCTGGATGGACTAATTTCTGGCAGCTCTGACTATTGGCTCCTCTCTCATATGTACAATTTCAGACTTGAAGCCACACATGAAGTAATTATGGAATTGCACAGTTTATCCCTAAAAATTTGCCATGAGGTGGTTCTTGTCTTCTCCAGCAATGCAATCCCTAGGAATTGTGATGACTTGAGTTTTTTATTTTTTAAAAAATCATTAATTAATCTTCATTCATTTAAGACCTCCTCGTTTATCTTTGATGAGGAAGAACATTGTTCCTCTTAAATCCCAGAAAACGGGATGGGAGAATGAAATAACTGCTGTAGTATAGTTTGGTTCAGAATTTTTTTTTTCTTTCTCCTTTGCACATTATTACTCATGGCATATGACACCAAGAAAGAGAAAGAAAATTCTAGAGCAGAACTCCAGGGCTGAGAGGAGCCTCGTGGATTCACTCCAGCTGTGCCGTTTACTAGCAATGAAACAGGCCCCAAAAGAAGGAGCTTCGGTGGCTGTGGAGCCTCACAGGTGAGCACCTTGACCATGGCTTTGGGCCATTGTGCTTTTCTTATGATTCAGACCTGTGCTGACTGGCACTTCCTCCTTGAGGTGGACCCTGATCAGCTGAGCTAAACAAGTATCCCTTTCCAGAGCCTGCTGGTCACTCTGTCTCATCACCCTATTTTATTTTCATCAGAGCACCCCTTGTTCCTGAAGCTACATTCTGACTTGTGTTCTGCCATTTGCCCCCTTCAAGGTGCAAGCTCCACGAAGCTTGCTGTTTTTGTCTCTGGCTCACTGTTATATCTAAAGTACTGTTTGGTACTCAGCAGGTCCACAATACATATTTGTGGATGGAATGAACCAGAGTTAAAGAAGAAGGAACTCCCCCTTTGGTAGGCACCTCTCACACCGGCCGCTCTGCTAAGTTGCTTGTGTTTGTTCCATTTGCTTAAAAGGTGACTGCTGTTCTCAGAGTCTCCAGTTAGAAAGTGGTAGGGCCAGAACTTAAAGCCAGGGATACTTTGCTTCAAATCCTGACGTTTGCCACAGCAGGAAATGATTCCCAGTGTTCTATGGCTCCTGGCCCACAACACTGTCCTTGAGTGGCAGCTCAAGTTCCCAGGACTCCCAGAATGCATCTGGCTGTCCCCCCTGGCTTCTATACATCTGGACCACAGTCTCCTTCAGAGAAATCAACCTGAATATATTAGATTCAGCACAGTAAAGACTCTCTGTTGCTGGCTTCTCTGTACAGACTTTATTGAGTAAATTTCTCATGTTATTAATATTATAGTTACTGTATTCTACTGGTTGATGAATTCCATTGAGTTGCCCAAATTTGCAATGAAAAGCCTACAAGAAAAAGGAATCTATCCATCTGCTGGTCATTGACACCTGAAGCAATCAAAGAAATTGATGACAAGAAAGTTCTGATGGTGACACCGCTTAGAAGGACACAGGTGCTGAAGGATGAAAGAAGCACCAGGCTGCCGAGAAGCCACCGATAACCCCAAAGCGATACGGGTTTTGATCACAGAGTAACCCACAGATGAGAGCCGAGGAGAGTGTCCAATCTCTTGTCCTTAGGAGATTGTCAAGAGAAGGAAGAAACATGGGGTTGTGGAAAGGGCAGAGGACTTGGGAATTGAAAGTCTGTTTTCAGGCTTCAGCCCTAGGGATGTGGCTTTGGGCAAGTTACTTCTTGCCTTTGAACTTTAGTTTCCTCATCTTATCAGTAATGTTTAACTAGAAGGCCCTGGATATGAAGGAATCCGAGCACAAAAGGGAAGGAGGCAGTGGTTTAAAACATGGAATTTCTCCTTCATGATAAAAACAGGCCATTTACTTCCAAAGCCCAGTCCTGGTATCATCACAGCTGTGTGGCTGGGGGCAAGGTGACCTCACTAGCTTAGGCTTTCTCAAATAGGAAAGAGTCAAAGCAGCACCTTATCCATGTTAACTCTCAGTCTTTCCATGAACTCTGCTGTGATGAGCTCTATTTTATCGTAAGGGAACAGAGGCACAGAGGAGTTAATAACCAGCCCAGGGTCACACAGCAGCCAAGCTGGTCTGTATCCCTGGCTACTCTGGTTTCCTCAGTGAGCATCCTGTTCCCAAATGAGCATGGGAGACACGGCTGGGCAGAGCCAGCTCGGGGCAGATGCCCAGTACTTTGAATAATTTCCTTTCGCATTCCAAGCCTGTATCTCTCTACTCACGACGCGGCGTACCATATATATCTGCCGTGTCAACACCTGCCTTAATCAGCGATTAGCCGTGAGAATGACAGCACACTTGGGCTTTGTAAAGCTGCAAGCATGTTCGTACCAGAAGGGGATGATTGTGTCACATTTGGTCTTCATCACTTTCAGCACGTTGGGGACATGAGGGTTTATTTATTAGGAAAAGGTGACAGGTTAGAGATCAGCTCAGACTAAGTATGCACAGGGCTCACTTGTTGAAGAGGTAAAGAGGCAGATCTCGTAAAGTTCTCAGCAGTCGGACCCCTGTCTCCCCAGAGCCCTTTGATGCTGGGGGTGCCCTCAGCACGTGCTGACAGTGACTGGCGTATTAGCAACCAAACCAGTCTTAGCATCACAGGAAGTCGAAGTGTGAGTCAAAATTGCCCAAAGAGAAGAGAGGTAGTCAGATGGCAGCCAGAGCTAAGGGCAATTATTCTTGGTATTTTTGGGAGCTTTCCGGGGAGTTGGGGAATACAACCTAGGCAAGCGTGTGGGGCTTTATTACTCATGTCACAACTCAGAACATGAGCGGGGTACGTAGTGTGAGGTTGGGACGAGTGTGAGATCTTGGGACGCATGTTCCCTGCAGACACCAAGCTCACGACAGGCAACCCTGAACAGGACATTCACATTCTCGGGGGAAGCGCTAGGTCTCACCAAACAAAGGCTGATGGTGGCAAGTTCCCTTCGAGTTTGTTACGTTTCCTTTATTACTTCCCACATCATTAAGCATAATTTGATTTAAAATACTTGTCAAAGCTATGTCCTTTAGAATGCATCATTTATGAAATTATGCAATCCACAGATCCATAGTTCGACCAACACAGTTTAGCTCCTTGTACTTCTATATTGCAAGACACCGTTATCCTCCCACGGCCAAGTGCAATGGTGAATGCATTTATTTCATAATAAAATAGCAAATAAATCAGCACCCTTAACCCAAACTAAGTTGGGCATAAGATTTATACCATGAAAGTGAAATCTCCATGGAACAAGATTAGCTGTAATGTTTCTTTTTCTTGTGTTAAAATCCTGCAGCATACCAACATGATGGAAACACCTTAAACTTGAATTATGGAGGTGTGGACTTGAGGACCACTTTTCCCCCTAGGGTGAGGGTACGGAGCTACTCCTGTTCCCTCCCGCCACTGTCTGTGTTGGCCTCATGGGCCTGCTGAGTCCAGATCTATAGTTACAAAGGGACATAGCTGACGAGTCAGGGCTTTTTCAGAACTGACCCTTCCCACGCCAGGCCGATCCTGATAACTTTCACTTTCACTCTTCCACAGAAGCATCTCCCAGGGGAGACGTGCTCTTGACTAAGCCCTGGCCAGCAAACACCCCCAAACATCATAGAAGAACAGAGGGAGAGAGTAACACTCACTTGAGCCAAAGGATGCCTTTCTAGGCAGAAAAAAGCCTGAAGATGTTTGCTTCAATGGAGAGAAAGGGCTGTTTACTTACATTGCTCCAAAGACCTTCCGACAGCCGGAGTCTTTGAACTCTGGTGTGCGCAGATGTGAAGCTCTTGCTCAAAATCCCCTTTCCTTTGGCAGCAAGGAGTACTCATAACTCTTTGTGGCTTCAGATTGATAAGTAATTTCCTGATTCACTCTCAAAAGCGTTCTCCCAGGCTTTAAGCAGCGGCAGAGAGGGGGCGAGAGAAGCAGGCCAGGTCCCCGGCGGGCAATGACGCTGTGGCCTACACAGACCTCCGGATTGTTTGAGCCTGAAAGAAAGATTTGTCGACTTCACAAACAAAAATAAATATCCTCCTTTATCTCTTGGCTCGCTCCCCAAATCATATCTGGGATACAGCACAATAAGTCTGCACGATATTTGTCCTAAAAGTGGAGCGTTGGAGTTGAACTCCTTCTCGTCTTCCGTGCTGGGAGAAACCAGGACACCTCTGATTGGTCTTCAAAGGCCCGTTGTTGTGATGACTTTCTTACCAGGGGCGTTGGAGGACGTTCTTAGACACCATGCAGTCCGGCCCCTCCAGCCCAGGGCTTCTGAGATTCGACCAGGCCCGCACAGCTGGCCAGTGGAAACCAAAGAGCCTCCTGACTGGAAAGCCAGGACTGTAAAGCTCTGACCACTGCAGGCAGGTGGAGGCGGGCACAGAGGTATGAGCTCTGGCTCTTGACCTTTAAGACACACGTCCCTGGACAAGGCCTTTCTTGTTTCTGAGTCTTGGTCCTCACAAATGCAAACTGGGAATCATTATTACAGCCACCCTTTGCTTGGCCACACAGCATGGCCATCACTGTGAAAGAGCTTTACTGAGGATTAACGCAATTGCAGGAGACGATGGAATTTTGCCATCAGGGCCCACTTTATATGCTCTCCTCCTTTCTATTCTCCTATTCTATTCAATGCTATTTTCTGCACTGGAAGAAACCATGGAGTGACTTTTGGAAGAAGAAGGGGAAGGCTGGTGAGGCGATGAGATACAACATGGAGGGAAATTTTGACCTTGGAAATTCAGGCCAAGGTCAGATGAAAAAGTATCTAGCATGTCTTCTGGGAACAGAAAACAAAGGCTTGGCCACTGCCTTGAATGCTTTATCTGCCGAGGGAGCACTACAGAACACAGTTGCCTCCCTGGGTGTGTAAGACCCGCCTGACTTTGCTTACTTCATTTTGTCGTGGTGAGGGTCACGGGAGGTCTTCAGCAAGACAGTGGTCTGCAACATCATATAAATTGGAAAGTGGTTGCTATGGCTTGAATGTGTGTTTTCCCCACATTCACATGTGGGAATCTTAGATCCAGTGGGATAGCAGGGAGGGGTAAGGCCTGTGGGAGGTGAGTAGGCTGTGAATGGGATTAGTGAACTTGGGAAGGGGCCTGAGGGAGCTAGCATGGCCCTTTTTGCCCTTCTGAGCTTCTGCCATGTGAAGACCCAGTTCGTCCCCTCTGGCGGATACAACATCAAGGTGCTCTCTTGGGAGCAGAGGTGGGGCCCTCTCCAGGCGCTGAACCTGCTGTCAACTTGATCTTGGGCTTCCCAGCCTCTAGAACTGTGAGAAACAAATTTCTGTTGTTTACAAATTATCCAGTCTGTGGCATTTTGTTACAGCGGTATTAACTAATGGACTGAGTGTGTTCTAGCACCCAGCACCACATCTCTCACCAGTATTGTGGGTAGGATGGTGCCACACCACTGTCCACTGCAGCCCTGGCATGGGCTCACACCGCCGTCCACTGCATCCATGGCTCATACCGTTTGGTGTTGAGGCCTCTGGGTTCTGCCTTTGATTTTTTTCTCCTCCTTTTAAGGAGCATGTTTCATCTTTCCTCCTGTCCTCCCCCTCTTGTACTTGTCTGGCCTGTGTTTGCCACTGTTAGTTTTCTTTCTTAGAAATCAAATTGTCCTTCTATTTCTCATATACCAGTAAAGATGGAAAACAAAGAAAAAATCTTTTGCTCAATAAAATAGAAAAGAACTCACTGAATGTTGACACAGAGGACACTGTCTTTGTCCTTGGAGCAGCCACAAACACACACAAATAGTCCAAGATCAGCACCTCCCACCATTGCGAAGGTTCAAGCCTCAAGTCCAACTCATATTTAATGATTCCATTTGCTTCCTTTGCTGCTTCACAAATGTGTTCCTTAAGTGTCATTTCAGTTAAGAGTTGCACTCTATCATCTGTAAGCATGATTTTCCAACTGAACTTTGTATCAGTCAGCTTGGACTTCCGTAACATAATACCATACACTGCATGGGAGAGAGAATAGAAATTATTTTCTCCCAGTTCTGAAGCTGCAAGTCTGAGATCAGGGTGCCAGCATGCTGGGATCTGGTGAGGGCTCTCTTCTAGACTTGCAGACGGCAGCCTTCTTACTGTGTCCTCATGTTGTAGGGAAAGAAAGGTGGGTCTTTCTCTTCCTCATCTTAAAAAGCCATGGTCCTGTTGGATAATAGACCCACCCGTATGAACTCATTTAACCTTGATTAAAAGGTTAAGGAAAGACTTTTCTCCTAGATAAAGTCATCTTGGAGATTAGAACTTCAATGCATGAATTTTGGGAGGACACAAGTGAGTCCTTAGCAAGCTTGGAGAAAGTGAGAAAAGAAAGCTAACCTTCATTGAGCCTTCCTTTTTTTTTTTTTTTTATTGAATCCTCATAACAACTTTGAGAGGTTGGAAGTGACTTTTCCAAGGTCACAAAGCTGGTAAGAGGCATGGTCCAAGTGTAAATGGTGACGACCAGAACCCTGCTTTTTCCATGACACATCCTGCCACCACCTCTTCTTCTCTCCTAGATTCTGAACTGAGACCCTCTACTTGTCCTTTCTTCTCGTTCTCAACTCAGTGGGCTGGAGGCAGGATGTCATGGCCTGAAGCACCATGAGAAGAAAAAGACAGACAGGGAAAGCCCCATGGCTTCCCTCAGGGTTGTCACTGAGTTCAGAAGACCCTGAGGGGAGTTTGCGTGTGGGGAATGTTCTCTTCCCTGCTTCCCTCTCAGCCTTCTTTATGTGAATAAACCCTGTGCACCGGTTCAAACTCAACATGCTTTCTTCTTGGTGTCTCTTTGACCTGCTCTCACCCTCTCTTGCTCTTTCTTGCTATATTCTCTGACACCATCCTCTACGTCTTCATGTTTTATTTTCCTTTCACAAAGCTTCATAAGTTGCTTCATCACTGCAGTAGCTACAACAGTGTTCATATAGAGAGAATTTGTACATGCTATCCGGAAGCCACACAGAATTTGCACAAGGTCTGTCTCCCTCACTGATCTGTAAGCTCCCTAAAGGCAGGGTGTTTTGCTCACTACGTATCTCCATTCATTAGCACATGAACACAGGACCCCACAGGGAGGGGAGGGAGGACTGAGGAAGGCCAAACCAGGGCAAAGAAATAGTGGAAGTCAGGCCCTGCACAATTCACCTGCAGCGTGGCTACAAACACACACCTGAGAGCATAGTCTTAAGGGGTGTCTTTATCAAGCCCCCTGTGTACTAACAAATGCATTCTTCTCTTTTCTACTTTGAATGGTGGTGGTGGGGTTTACTAGGTTCGGATAATCAAGGTGGAAGTTTTTGGAGTAAGAAGAGGCAGCTGAGGAACAGGTAGGTCTGGGGGTAAATCAGGGGCAGCACAGGCAGGCTGGCTATACTGGGACTCCTTTTCATAGCCTATCAACCTCAGTCTTTATCTAGAAAGAGATGAAGCAGGACCCTGATGGAACAGGTTGTGAAGGGGTACAGGAGCCTGTCAGGGAGAATTCCTACCAGAGAAGGACATTTTCAGTCGAAAGAACCATTTGTGCAAAGACAGGGAATGCCAGCAAGCTGCGTTTAGAGAACTACAAGGGACACAGTTTTGTTGGTGGGTTGCAGGGAGATGTGATAACAGAAATGAATGTTCCAGATGAGCATTAAGTGTGTTCATTATTATCTCTTTCTTAACATTGTTTGGAGGGCAAGTGAGAGAATGCATGTGGAATTGCTTTATAATCTGGAAAAAGTCCTATGAAAACATTTTTATTACAAATTCTTTTGGATGGAGATAACTAGAATGTTAAACAAGGAAACCATGCTGGGAAATTGAATTATTTATAAATTTACTTTATTTATAAACTGAAGAATGTGATTAATTTCCTTCTTCCAATTTCCTTTCAAAGACTAGATTATAAGTTTACAGTGTGTGTTAAATATGAGCGAGCTGGGAAACATGTTTTCAACTCAGCACATCGCTGCTCTTCTTGATAGGACAGGGACTGGGCTCCTGAAACTACATTTCCTAGAATCCCTTGCAGGCACAGAGACGTGAAAGACAGGGTAGAATTAGAGGACTTTATTCCTTGGGGACAGTTACAGAATGAGGACAGTCAACTGAGGTCTGCAGGAACTGCCAGGTGAGATCCTGGAGTCTCACACTTTGGTGTGGCTTCCGGATAGCGTGTACTTCTGGGTTTCCAACAAGTGGCTGGTTTCTCTCCAATTGGTTCCACGGTTTTCTTAAATATCTATATTTTTAATTTAGAATAATTATAGACTCAGGAAGTTATAATAACAGAAAACAACTGTTTTCCTTCAATGGTGACCTTTTTATGTCTCTACAATGTGATATAAAAACTAGGAATTGATGTCAGTACAATAGTATTAACCAGACTGTAGACCTCATCAGTTGTCTCCAGTTTTTATATAGGCTCATTTGTGTGTTGTGTAGTTCAGAACAATCTGGTCTCAGGTATGGATTCCACACAGTTCTTTCAATGGCTCCTTAAGGCTTTGACTCCCCATCTTAAAGTCCCTACCTGCAAGGAAGCTTATTCTCCAAACTCAGTGCTGACTGATATGGTTAACGGTTTCCTGCTGTTATCTCACATTTGAAGGCTTGTAGTCAAATTTTGTTGCTCACTTTCCATTCCATTTGTTTATTTGTTCAACTAAAATATCACCCTTTGATATTTCTTCACATCCTTTCTCCCCTATTTTATTTGTTACAGGATGACAAAGGCATCACCATATTATATCTCATCATCCTATTATATATAAATTACCATAAAAGACTCTGAGCTATTTGTTGGGATGGCATTGCTCCATCCTCAAATTCATCTTTCTCATATTAGATGAAAATTCAATGTATGGTAATTATTCCTAATTGATCATAAAATAATTTATATGTGACAAGGCAAGAGACAGAAAATAATAGGAATGGCTAATGGAGAAGGAAAAATTATCATTACAGACGGATAATAAAATTATACAAATAAAAAAATGCAAGTAAATTTTAAAAGGGCCATTAGAAATGATCTATGTGAAATAGGGTTGACAGACAAAAAATAAATATATAAAATAGCTTTTCTATACACCAAAAGAATTAGAGAACAGAGTGTTTCAAAATCCTTCAAAATCTAAAATGATGCTGGATTTCTTGCAGAGGAAGGAGAGACTGGCCTCTTCCTGACCCTGGGCTGTTTTCTTACTTAAGCCCTTAATCAGCCCAACTTGTGTGCAGAGACTCTCAA